AAGAAGAAGAAGAAGAAGAAGAAAGAAAGAAGAAGAAGAAGAAGAAGAAGAAGAAGAAGAAGAAGAAGAAGAAGAAGAAGAAGAAGAAGAAGAAGAAGAAGAAGAAGAAGAAGAAGATTCGTGGAGAACGAGGAGGCTCGTCGTACTCGTGTACTACCTGTATGTAAGCTTGGGGTTGCTGAGAAGAGGGTGGAGGGGGCGGAAGAGGGCCACCGGTTACCGCTGCGTCCTGTTGCGGGGATGTTCGCGGCGGTTCTAAACATTCGAGCGTCAAATAGTTGGACAGATTTGGAGAGAATGGTTAACGGAAAACTTACCAAGCGTACGGAAGACGATCGGCCGGCTTCGAAATTTTTTCCCACCTCTGACGGCGGTGACGACCAGCTGGTATTGCGTGTCGGCCCTCAGACCGCTCAACGTGACCGCCTCGCTATTTCCCGCGACCACCGCCACCACCCTGTAACTAACCACCTTGCTGTTGTGTCTTCCTTCCTTCATCTATCTTTTTTCTTTTTTTTCCTCTATCTCTTCTAAACGCGTCGACTTTTTTTCTTCGATAAACTACGTTTTGCGAAGGTCCCCCTCCTCCTCCCCCCCCCAAAGAATTGCGAGCAAATTATCGTAACGATTATCGTACGACGGGCACTCAAGGTTTTCTCCTTCCTTTTCATTATTCTCACGGCATTAACGGTAACTTTTAATCATCGTCGTAAAAAATCGATAGACGAAGAGGAGAGAAATTATTATCTATCTTTTTTTCGAGGGGAAAAAAAAGGCTGAGTTGATAAATTCTTCTTATTAATTCGGTAATTATTGTTTACTTGATGCAATTTTCGAGTCGCGTTACAAATAGTTTGTTACGCGCCACCATTGCCATTCAACGTCTCGCTATCGTCTTCCTTCGATAAATTATCCTCGTGAAATTACGTGATCGATTTCGCTCGGGGGAAAAGGCTTCGTCGTATTTTCCGCTGCCTTCCGCGTATTTGATTCGCGTATCGAAAATCGTTTTCGCCCTGAATAAAACTACGGTTAATTTTTAAAAAAGTTAAAAAGTTTCGTCAAAAATATACCAATTTTTCGAACGTTTAAACAACTTCCTCGACACGAGTTATTTTTAATGGAAAATGTGAACACGAAGCGAATTAAATCTACGGGGAGATGTTTTTCTCAGGATCATTAAAGATAACGAGGAAACTTCTTTTTCGTAAGTTCTTTCGAAACTTCTTAGAACAGATAAGATAACGTGCTCGGTCGAGAAATAAAGAGAGAGAGAGAGAGAGACAGACTCTGGTTTTAAATTCTTTCCACCGTGTTTCTTCCATAATTAGACTTTTCTAATTCTTCTGGCAAAATTTTTAATAATAATTACGTTTCATTTCGAAGAAGTAGGATATTTTTCCAAAATTCTTTTATAAATTATCATTCTCGACCAGCGGAGTGTAAACCGCGTTGACGAAAATATTGTTAAAAGAATACGTTACGTTTCTATGCTCGCAATTCTCTCTAGGAACACCTTAAAAGAGGTATGTACCTGTCATTGTATTTCCTGTGCCGCAGTAGAAGTAAAAGCATCAATTAATATCGAGTCCCTTTCTTCTAAACAATTTCACATCGAAAGACTGATACCAATTGATAAATGAATTCGTCTTCGAGATATTGTAAAATATGTACATTGTGAAATCTAAATCCTTTTTTCATCGCGCTACGTGTGTGAAAAAATAATTCCATATTAGATGGAGTTGTGAGAAAAAAATTACTATATTACTGCACGTATTTGCGTGCGAGCTTCATTTTCTCACGGTAATCGATGGATGCGATGTCGTCGAAATGTTTAGAATTACAGAGCGCCGCTGTGAAACGAGTAATAGGCGTATCTAAAAGTGTGAAATAAACGAGGGTGCCAGAGTGATTGATTCCAGATAATTTCCAGAAATCGTAACCAGGTGCGTCTTGGACGATCGTCTACGATATGATAGAGTACAATAGGCCACGAAATAATTTTCTATTTTCTATCATACGAGTAATCGACGATTTTTAACGATGGATATTTATATATATATATCTTTTAGATTCAATAGGAACGTCGATACGATAAAAAAGAAAAAAAAATACGATGATGCAAATTAATAGGATAATAAGAAAAGTAACAAGAGTAAGTTGTCAACAAATTCCTTCCAACTATAGCTATGGATTATAAATTAAAAATACAGCGAAAATAAAAAGTTTAAACAAAGATGATTCGAAACTACAATTTTAAAACTTCGTTACATTCATTCTCTTACTTGCGAATTCAAGTTGGATAGATGTACTACGTAAAAGAACGTGTCGATTTAACGTGTGGATAGATGATTTTGTTAGATACATTGTACATGCAAAGAAAAGAAAGAAAGAAAAAAAGTTAAAAGTGGAACATGTGGAACATCGAAATCTCCAGAACGCACCTGGCATCCGTTGGCTTGTACGTGACGTCGTATTTTTCAACTTGTTCGACCTGACTGGTGCTCCAAGATACGCGCACAGAGGTTGGATTCAGGAACATCACCGTTATATTTTCCGGAACACCAGGAATACCTGTTACCGAGCCTGCACAAAGGAAACGCGTGTCTGTGAGTAAAAAAGAATTATCGATCAAGTCGAAGGATAAGGTGAATACGCGACACGTGATAAACGAATCCGTTGATTAATTAATTTTTAAAAAGTTTAGAGTTAAAGAATATTGAGATACAGAATCGCTAAAAATCAGATCTAAAAAGTGGAATGCACGTGTGTGATAATATCGAGCAAGTTGTAAATAAGTAAGTTGTTACCGATAGAGCACCAATTTCTTCGTCGAACATCTATATACTATTTTCTCACCGCGTTGAATCGGTCGCAGCGGTGTCGTAAACCGGCCATCTTGACCCCGATCCTCGCTCTTAATAATATTTTTTCACTCGCATCGAAAGAAGTTTACAAGGTTTACGCAAACGTTACAAGTAGAGCGCGGATTTTTCCGATTAAAAGCAACGTTTTTACACGAACGAATACACGCTTATTTTCGTCCATAACTGTTCAAAGAGATTAATCGTAATAATTGACTCGATTCCGAATAGTCCGAACCGATCGATCGAGGAATTTACCTTGAAATCAGAATTGAATTCTATGCCTATTAAAATTAGGAAAATTTTAAATCGCTACAACTCCGAAGATAATGATTTTTGACCGACGAACGAGGGATCGTTAGAAGCGCGGAACCTTGCCCTTTAAAACGGTTTTTCATTCATCCCGATACGATTTCCGGTTGCCGAGATATCGTCGCGTAAAGAAAAGGATAATTTTTTAATCGTCGACTTACCCTCAAACTCGAGACTTGTTTCCCAATCTCTGCGCGATAACGTTTTTCGAATATTTCGAATCTCGATCGAGATATATCGGCGTAAAAATACGAAAAAGAATTTCAACGATCAACAGTTTTGCTCTTTTTCCATTTCCTGAATTTCCCGATAAAATTTTTCCTTTTCTTCAATCACACTTTTCGCACGAGGAGTTTTCGTACGTGACTTTGCGCGAACCTAATGGTTTATTGTCGCGATATAATGTATTATACGATTTAGCATATGTTTAGCGTGTGTTACGTAGCAACGTGACATACCTACGTAAAAATCCGCAGTCTAGTTATAAGATATGCACGCCGATGAATTTACGTCTAACTGTAACGCGAGAATCGTAGCTCGTAAATTTTTATCGATCGAGCAATTTATCGACGATAAATTCCGAACGAAACGAATTTTTCGTCGTTGCTGGTTAATAACAATTGCGTGAATGAAAAAAAACTTACCTACGAAACCAGCTCCTTGTAGGAATAGTATAGTGGCCCAAAGGACCATGCCGCCCAAATGGCGGGCCAGGTATGGACCGCGTATTCTTTCGCACACGTGTTTATCGCTTTTCTTTCCTTGCACAGACGCGCCCTCTTGTTTTTTGGCTACACTCGCTGGACGTTGTTTCGCGTATGATACACCTCTCTGAAAATTCGTGCTCATCTAGCCTCCTCTACAAGGTGCTGCATTCTTTTTCTTTCATTCCACCACACTCGCTACAACAAAAAACATACGCATGCACGTAATGCTAATTAACTAGAAAGAGAAAGAAACCTACGAATCCATTTATTATTCCATTCAAAATTATTTATCAATATTTTTTCTTCATATCTTTCTACGAGAAATCTTTTTTTTTTTTTACATGTATATTGAAAAAACAAAAAAAAAAACAAGGAAGAACAAAGAACGATAAAAGTTTGGACACGATAATATTTCGATTATGTCGTATCGAGATAATACGAAAATAATAAATTCGAATAATAAATTCGATACCGTTATTGCGGGGCCACTTCTTCGAAGAACTTCTTCCACACGAAACATACTTGCATCTCTCCGCCGACGGGGTAACGCGTCGACGAATTCATTCGAATCGTGATCTACAACACAATCGATGGAACTTTGTGCATTATCGCATCGCGTCGATCGAGCAACATTTCGACTCGATGATACAATTGGAATTTCTTCTTTTTTTCCTTTTTTTCTCTTTCTTTTCTTTTTTTTTTTTTTTTTCTCTCCGCGGAAAAAGGGAATCAAGGTGGCCCGAGTTGAATGGAATTTTTTTTCTCGTATCAACGGTTATTGACGCGTAAAAAAAGAAAAACGATATGGACGGTAAATAAAGAGGGTTATAATACGAGAGCGGTAAGTAGGTGGTGACCTTTCCGGATTGTTCGGTGCGGCGCACGGTTGCGAACACAGCACCGGTCGGTGGCAACGAAAATACTGCGAGTGGACTGGTCGGTGTTAGCTTGCCTGCCTGCCTGCCAGCCAGCCAGCCGCAAGCGTTCGAGCAACAAATGAAGCTTGCGGTTTATATTGGCACGCCTTTATACGCAGTCTCCTAGAACTTGTACACCGAGTACCCGCAACTTTCCTCGTTTATCGTTCTCGTAACCAAGTTTCCCAAACATTTGATCGGCCGTATTCGCATTTATTAATAAGCGGTCGCGAACCATTGCCACATATTCTCACTGTTTCGTAACCACGCTTCTCCCCTCCTCTCCCTTTCGATCCTCCTTTGTCTTTCGCCAAGCGTTCGTTCCAAATTTTTCGTTCGAATTTAGATTTCAATTTGTTGAGAATAGAAGATATCGACGAGATATCTAAAATCATTTACAAATCTAAACGATCGTGATCGTGATAGAGAAATGGATCGATTTGCTCTTCGAAATCTCGATAATTTAAACGTGGGATTAAAACGTGGAATGGAAAATATATATCCGGCCCGAAACAAAGTTCGATTTATAAAAATAACTTTCCGATTCGAGGTGGTCCACGTCAATGAACCTTGCGGGTCGTGAGTCATCCGTGAAATTAGCTAACGTATGGAAATGTAAAAATATCATTGTTATCGAAAGTAAATCGAGATTATCTTTCACCAACAATCGATCCTTCTTTCGCGATTATTCTTGCACGTATTTTCGAAAAATAATATATTTTTATTTAATTTAATTTTGGAATAATCGAAATTATAATACGATTATGTCATATTCTCGTGAATTAGGAATCTTTATAACACGATTAATCGTTCAATAATTATCTCGTAAGATTATTCGTATATAAATAAAGAGAAAGATAAAGATCGAAACGGTATTTTTAACTTTCGAACAAACGAAGCGTGTGAGCAAGCATAAATAAAATTCTTAAATAAAAGAATCGAACGATTTGTTCGCGCGAGCATAAGTGATACACGCTGCGAACAACGAAAACAGTTACGGATTCTCCGCATTGCGGTGAAGTTCCGATTCATCTATCTTTCCGATCTGAGAAATTCAATTATCGAGAGAGATTCAGCTATTATTAAAACCATCGTCCGTTAAATATTTCGTTAATAACCGTGTATCAATTGTGATATAAAACCGTCTAAAACTCTCGTTATATTTAAATTATTTTCTAAAACGAAAAATCATCGAAACGATTAACGACTCGTTAATTGAGTAATAAGCGTGTTTTAAACTTAGAGGACGAAACACGTGCCAAGGGACTACTTAATAAGTAGTCACCGGTCACTGGAAGGAAGTGGAGTGTTAAGATTTTTTTTCAAGATTTTGAAAAAGATTTCGATCGATTAATGGATTTTACGAGATACCCGTCTGATAAATTAAAACAGCGCAAAGAAATTTGCCATTTTCGTCTTCGTTTCAACGATTAGTTGGACAACAACAACGACATCTATAACGCGTAACGATACCCATCGCACGACTCGACTCGATTCAACTTCGTAAGATTTAAATTTGCGATATTTCTTATCCAGATTCCTATTTCTAAAGTTTATTCTTTTCAAAATTAATCAGGATGATGATCGATTCGTCAAATTTCGTTATTTCATACAGTGTTTTCCAACGTGTCGATATTCGCGAGGAACGACACTTTCTTTCACAGTTCATAAATCGAAGAGGAATTTTATGGATGTGTTATAATCTCGATTGATTACGCTTTCGACATTTATCTCTGGATGGATCTCTCATCGAACAAATTTCTACATATTTCTAGACCTTTCTCTTTTATTTACCGTACAACAGATTTTCCCTTATATACGTATCTTTACATCCTACGAAAATATATAGCGGCAACACGATAACGAGATGATTAATCTTTCGGAATACGGATCGAAAATACGCGAGGTTTTTACCTTTGATATACGATGCATTTGAAATCGATCGACACGGATAATGGTGGTCACAGATGGTTGGCAATACAGATGGTATAAGAAATCGTTCCAAATAAAGTAACCGTACACAGGGAATAATTTATAATATCCAAGTCTTCTCTTTTCTTTACTTTTCTTTTTTTCCACGTCGATCGTGTTTCTCATCTCGGCCAACGATCGTGTGCCGTTTTTATATCTCGCGATTAGCCACTATTACCGGAAACGGGAACAAAGTTCAAGGCTGAAATCTCTTTAACGTTAAATTTTCTGTCCAACTAAATCGACCACAGATTGAATGATGAAAAAAAAAAAAAAAAAAAAGAAAGAAAAAAGTAAAGACAGAGAATAGCATACGAAAGTAAAAA